CGAGAATGGATCGAGGTGTCACAACGCCTATTTTATAACAATTTTTACGGCGAATCGTATTACTAATCATACAAATGATAATTTCAATTTTGATTTGAAGCTCCTCATAAAGTAGGACTTTACCAGCCAAATTTCCTGATGTTCAGGCTAGATCTGGCGAAATATTATCTATTTACATTATCAAAAACGTTGACCTGATACCCAAAAAAAATCACCGAAAGACAAGCAAAAAACCGTAAAACAGAGATAAGAAAGTTGCAAAAGAGTATTAAGATATACCCAAAGACAAGAACAAAGCAACTGGTACATACTGTGGAGAAATATGACATCAACGATGGCCGTAACGATTAGACCCAGCAAGTTGCTGCACTGTCTCTCATTCAAATCAGATTTCATCAGAACTGCAGCTCTCAAAAATATGCAAACGCTATACTTAAACACATAAAATGCTCAAATTAAACTCGAAAAAGCTATTTTGGCACCCTATACAGTAGTATGTCCTGCGCAAGAGGACCAACAATATGGGCGTAATCGTCCATGTATGTCTCTTTTTCCGTGAATCCCCGCTTTTTCAATAAATTTCCATAAAGTATCACAGATCTGAAAACGATTAACTATTGATGCAATTAGAGGTAGTACTACTTGCTGTCACAGCATTAAACTCATCACCAATGAAAACATAAAGCAACGGAAATTTGACAAAGTTTCAGAATTTCAGGGGCGTATTTCTCACCATGGTCGCTTTAACTAGGAAAAATAAAAAGTGCGCCGGAGAGCACAAAGATTGAAATGATTTTATGCAAACGAACAAGGCTGTGATCCGCAAGAATTCAGAGACTGTGTGCCAAAATGATTTGTTTGCGCTAAACAAAAAAGCTCTTTACTCCGGGAACAGCTGAATTCAGCTATTCAGAGAATGTAGACAGATTCAAGTGCTCACGAAAACAATACTCTCATCCCCTCTTTCCGAACAGATCGGATATATCTACATCCTTATTACTGCATTTTACAAAATTCCAGCACGGTTAATTCGCAGCGCATTCTTTCGTGCAAACGACGGTCCTTGTACGGAAGCGTAGCGCTTTCCACTATCAGTAAAGTGGAAGTCTGCACAAAGAGCAAAAGGCATAAGTCTGGTTATAAAATTATACAAGTCTTTTTTTCTCCTTTTCCTAGCCTATGACTCAAAAATGCCAAATGCATTCCTGTGTATTTACAATTTCCTTATTTTTGTCATACTCTTTTTTTCATACTTACAAAGACCATTTCATTTTCCACTTGTCATCTTTCTTATCTTCTTTTGACCCCCTACCCCTATTCCCTTTTCCTTCATCATTCCCTTTTATCTCCCATTTCCCCAAAGTCCTAGATTTCCTCCAAATTATTACATCATCCCATACGGTAGGCCCCAACTCCCTTTATGAACCTCTTCACCTTTCTTCTTGGCCTCAGTTTTCCTGGACCAACGACGAATACATCAACCTCGGCACGCCAGCCAGCTACGACTCTCGCCTACCCTATCTGCGGACGCGACGGAAACTCGGCTCCTTTCTTCTCGAAAGGACTACTCCACCTCGGAACCCTGTTGCCGAATCTCCTGCTCAGCAGGCTATTCTGTTCGTCAGAGCCCAAGCATCACGTCTTGTGTATTATTGCTATTGTCTGCGCTGCAATAAGTAGGACGTAAAACTTATCATTTCTCTAATTGGCCCTCCAGTCTACGTACCACGCCACACAGCGATCCACACACGAAACAACCCCATCCAATAAAAATTTTTACTTAAGATACAATCAGCATTCCCTGCTCTTTTGAAAAAGAAATAAGCAAACACATTCGAGTCATCAAGTCTCGCAGTTTCGATAGTGAAAACTGCGAGGAGGCCGGCTACACTCGTGGCGCAAAGATGTGCTAGTGTAAATGACGGCAGCAATCAACTGAAGTTATACATCAAGGAAGTTACTGAAGTATAA